CGCACTCGAAGACGACGTGTTCCATCGTATCCGAGCTTCCGCACAGCTGACATTCGTCGGTCTCTGACTTAGAGAAGCGTAGGACAGCGGTTCTCAACCTTTTTATAGTCACGTACCATTTACACAATTTGAAAATTTTTACGTACCACCTGACCATTTTTTTTTTTGCTTATTAATAATGTATACGTTTATGTTATATGTATGTATAGAATTTTATTTCATTAGGAATTACAAAATGAGATAATATAAAATATATAAATATATAATAAAAAATAAAGTATTTAATTGAGTAATGCACAGAAAGAAAAAAACTTAAAAATATAAAAAAAAATTAAATATGTAAAATTATTATAATTATTATGGTTTACTTTTTATTTCAATGAGACGATTGCTGTTGTTTTGAACGGACAATGACGTCAATATCGGGCTCCAAATTGCTAACTTGAAGTCTTAAATTATTTTCTACGTTTAATCTACTTCTATATTTATTTTTTGTGTAAAATTAGTGAGAAAATGTATTTTCACACAGATATGTTGATACAAAAGGGATTAGAAACTGTAAAGCTTGTGTGGACAATGCCGAGTGTTCTTGTTTCACGTCCAGCCAAAAATTAGTGATATTTTTGGTTTTGAAAGCGGTTTTTAGGGTAGAGTCACTGGTTAAGTCAATAAATAATTCTTTTGCCAAAATACCTTCTGGAATGTTTTTAATATAATCATCTTCGAAAGGGTTTATGATCCATTTCATTTCTGAGTTATCCTCTGGAAAATATTGTAAAATATTGGATTTTAGTAATTGCAGGTGTTCCGAAATGTCTGTAATTATATTTGAATTTGGCTGAATTTCGTTTTTTTTCCAAAATGTGTTTAGTGTCTCGAATGCTGAAAGATCATTCTTAGATACTTGAGAAATAAATAAATCCAATTTTCTCACAAATGCATTAACTTTATCACTAGCATAAAACATGTTTGTGTTTGAACCTTGCAGACTTAAATTTAAAATATTTAAACGATCAAATATGTCAGCCATGTAAGCTAGTCTTGACAGCCATTCGTCATCACAAAACAATTTGGACTTTTCTTCATCAATATCAGTCAGAAGTAATAAAATTTCTGACCTTAGCTCGAATAGCCTGGTGAGGACTTTTCCTCGTGAAAGCCACCTTACCTCTGTGTGGAGAAGAAGGGATTTATGAGTACTGCCCATTTCATTACATAATACTGTGAATAGTCTTGAATTGAGAGGTCTGGCTTTGATTAGATTTACGATTTTTACAGCACTATCAAGAACTAATTTTAAACTTTTAGGCATGTTTTTAGATGCTAATGCTTGCCGGTGAATCATGCAATGCATAGTTTTACATAATGGGGCAACTTTTTTTATTCTTGTTGCAACTCCGCTCAGCCTTCCAGTCATTGCCCTTGCTCCATCAGAACAAAAACCCACACATTTACTCCACGGCAGATTTATTTCAATCAAATATTCATTAATGGTGGTAAAAATAATTTCAGATGTTGTGTGGGTTTGTAAAGGCTTACAAAACAAAAACTCTTCAATAATTTCATCATTGCGATCAAAACGTATAAATACCATTAATTGAGCCATGTTAGTAATATCAGTACTCTCATCAATTTGTAGAGCAAAGAAATTACAATCTTTCAAATAAAGCAATAATTTATTTTTTATATTTGACGACATGTCATCAATTCTTCTTTTGACAGTATCGTTTGAAAGTGACACTTTTTCAATCTCTTTTGCAGCCTTGTCTCCAAGAACACATCGCACGATTTCTTTTGCTGCTGGCAACACTAGTGTTTCCCCAATTGTGTGTGGTTTTCCATTTTTAGCAATAATTAAACTCGCTAAATAAGATGCTTTAACGATATTTTCATTAAAGTTTGTAAAACTAGACATGCATTTCGATTCCTTTCGGAATGCAGTTAATTTTCTCTGAAAAAATTCAATGGGATTATTTTCTGTTTCTGGATGCTTCGATAATTGGTGGCGCTTAAGTAGCGATGGCTTCATGCTTTGATTTGAAAGTGTTTCTTGACAAATTACACATTGAGGTAACGGAGTAGAATTTTCAGAACCAAATTTTACAACGAATCCAAATTGTAAGTAACTATCGTCATATTTACGATTCGCCTGTGTTTTCTGTTTTTTAGTATTTGTGCTTTCGCTTTCTAAAAATCTTTTCATTTTACTAAATTTTATATCAAAAAAAAGTACGAAAAAACTACATAAAAATATAAAATTTTAATATAAAATACACTTGATGCAAACAACGCGTATGCCACTCGTGAATAAACTTAAGGAACTCACGAAACTAAGGTAAAAACACATAATTGTGAAATAAGAATACGCTTTGTCGGGCTTATCCAATAAAGTTTATCGATTTATAATATAAATTTTATACTATATTAATGAGAATATCGTTATCTTAATTGCTACGATTACAAACGACCTCCACACCATCAAATAAACATTAAATAAACCAAATAATATTTAATGTTAATAATAATTCGTACCAATTTTTTTTATAAAGGAAGATTTTCTTCGCGTACCACCTATGAGCTCTCCGCGTACCACTAGTGGTACGCGTACCACAGGTTGAGAACCGCTGGCGTAGGAGATAGGACCTGAATCCCCCATGTCCCGTTAGGAACTGGGAGGACTCATGGTCCACCTCCACCCAGCTACACTTCAACCTTTCTTTCACGCATGGGAAGTAGCTATATGTGAGTCTACCCTTCTCACTAGCCTCCCACCGTGCTTGCCACTCTGCAAGACCTTCCTCCTCTACCCTGTCCATATGCTCCCTCCCGAGCCCTAATCTCCTACTCCTAGCCAAACGGCCCCATTGTCTCGCGGCCAGGTCCAGAGGGAGAACTCCCGCCAGCACAGGCAGAGCATCCGTACTCGTGGTACGATATGCCCCCGTTACCGCCAAAAGCGCACCCCTCTGGGCTCCTAGCAGCAGACGTTTCATCATCCGATCGCCGACGGTTTCACCCCACACCGCAGCCCCGTAAAGCAGTCTCGGCACAAATACACCTAAGTATAATCTGCG